GGAGAAGACAACTTACATAGCTAAGGAGGAGTTCGACTCTTCAAGATCTGTGGTGGCCGTTGTTGTTTGAGTACTGGATGTGGAGAACCAATGCTAGAGAAAACAAAGACGAAGTGGCTAGTTGGAATTAATATGTGAACCGGCCGATTTTAGAAATATTCCGGTTCACTGGTTTTGGTCAAAACTGGCTGGTTTGGCGATTTTTCAACGGTTCGATTCCGTATGCAGTCTAACTAGAAAATCGAACCGGTTAAGACCTCGGGTCACCGTTGAACTGGTCCAGTTCTGATAACACTATCATAAACTATCTATTTTTCCATTTCAACAATGATTATATTCTTTCTTTCAGCCACTCTATTTTCTTGTGAAGTATACCCTACCGTCAATTGTCTTTCTATACCAATGTCTTCACAAAACTTATTAAATTCATTAGATTTGTACTTGCCACCTCTATCAGTGCTTAACAACTTAATGTTGTATTCACTTTGCCTTTCAACTAACTTTTGAAACTTTTTGAATACTTGAAAAACTTTAGACTTTTGTCTCATAAAATATACCTAATTTATTATTGAAAAATCATCAACATGGATAATCAAGTTTTTGTTAGCTCCATATGAAAGTGTTCTTGATGGTACCTATACATTGGTGTGAACAAGCTCCAACAACGATTTGGCTCTCCAAGCTTTTTCTTTTGGAAAAAGATCTCGATGATGCTTTTCAAGTGCACATCCTTCAAAAACTTCTTGTATAGATGTCAATCCATAAACCATGCTCTTTGTTGTAGGATTTTCAAGCTTTGAAAGTTCAAGTGCCCAAATTTTCTATGCCAAAGCCAAGATTTGTCTACAACCTCCATCTTCAAAGAAATAATATTTGAATACTGAAAGATGAGAGAAAATTTTCTGCTTTTCTCCATCCCAATTTTCGTTTTTCTAACACCACAGAGTACCCATGTTCTACAATCACTATCAAGATACCAAACATGGTTATTTTGCTCAAACATTGCTTAAAAAACATAAAACATGTTTCTACTACTTTCTTACTCTTCAGAAACATTAGCTCATTGATCATTCTTGAACCGACAATCTTTTTGAAAATTACCAAATTTTTAGGAATTAAAACATTGAGGCTTTCCATGAACAAACAGTCTTTATCAACATGACTTGATCTTTTACAAATTTCACATTTTTGTTGAGTGAATTCTTTATTTGATGTTCTTTCAAAATTTCCTCTACCTTTTCCTCTTAAATTTACAATTCCACATTTGGAGTCAACATTAAGCNATATATATATATATATATAGACAGAGAGACAGAGAAGAGGAGAAGACCCATAACCTCTGTTATCCTGTTCCAACTTTTATTTCAAAATGAACCCGAGAGAGAGAGAGAGAGAGAGAAAATAGAAGAAGACCCAATAACGAGTGTCATCCAGCCAATGATTTTTAGATAAATCCAAGAGAAAGAGAGAGAGAGACAGAGACAGAGGAGAAGACAACTTACATAGCTAAGGAGGAGTTCGACTCTTCAAGATCTGTGGTGGCCGTTGTTGTTTGAGTACTGGATGTGGAGAACCAATGCTAGAGAAAACAAAGACGAAGTGGCTAGTTGGAATTAATATGTGAACCGGCCGATTTTAGAAATATTCCGGTTCACTGGTTTTGGTCAAAACTGGCTGGTTTGGCGATTTTTCAACGGTTCGATTCCGTATGCAGTCTAACTAGAAAATCGAACCGGTTAAGACCTCGGGTCACCGTTGAACTGGTCCAGTTCTGATAACACTATCATAAACTATCTATTTTTCCATTTCAACAATGATTATATTCTTTCTTTCAGCCACTCTATTTTCTTGTGAAGTATACCCTACCGTCAATTGTCTTTCTATACCAATGTCTTCACAAAACTTATTAAATTCATTAGATTTGTACTTGCCACCTCTATCAGTGCTTAACAACTTAATGTTGTATTCACTTTGCCTTTCAACTAACTTTTGAAACTTTTTGAATACTTGAAAAACTTTAGACTTTTGTCTCATAAAATATACCTAATTTATTATTGAAAAATCATCAACATGGATAATCAAGTTTTTGTTAGCTCCATATGAAAGTGTTCTTGATGGTACCTATACATTGGTGTGAACAAGCTCCAACAACGATTTGGCTCTCCAAGCTTTTTCTTTTGGAAAAAGATCTCGATGATGCTTTTCAAGTGCACATCCTTCAAAAACTTCTTGTATAGATGTCAATCCATAAACCATGCTCTTTGTTGTAGGATTTTCAAGCTTTGAAAGTTCAAGTGCCCAAATTTTCTATGCCAAAGCCAAGATTTGTCTACAACCTCCATCTTCAAAGAAATAATATTTGAATACTGAAAGATGAGAGAAAATTTTCTGCTTTTCTCCATCCCAATTTTCGTTTTTCTAACACCACAGAGTACCCATGTTCTACAATCACTATCAAGATACCAAACATGGTTATTTTGCTTAAAAAACATAAAACATGTTTCTACTACTTTCTTACTCTTCAGAAACATTAGCTCATTGATCATTCTTGAACCGACAATCTTTTTGAAAATTACCAAATTTTTAGGAATTAAAACATTGAGGCTTTCCATGAACAAACAGTCTTTATCAACATGACTTGATCTTTTACAAATTTCACATTTTTGTTGAGTGAATTCTTTATTTGATGTTCTTTCAAAATTTCCTCTACCTTTTCCTCTTAAATTTACAATTCCACATTTGGAGTCAACATTAAGCTTAGATTGTAACGCGCACACAGATTTTTTGGCATGCATACTTAATCTTTTCTCAAATGTTTTAATGGAACTCAATAAATATTGAACACACAAAGAAAAAATATCTTTAGTTTCTTCAATGAAGGAAAAATAAAATAATATTTTTCAGCAAACTAACCAAAATTTTTTCAATAATTCTTGAGTCCAAAATTTTTGCTCCATAAGTTTTCCTTTGATTTACAATCTCTATAAGTGTAATTAACAAATCATTTCAGGGTTGGTTCTCTTTTATTCTACTATTTTTAAAATCTCTTCTAAATGATTATAATTTCACGGTTTTTACCTTCGTAGTACCACAATACTCATCTTGTAAAGTGTCTCAAACTATATTTGACTTTGTTGCTTTGATAATTCTTGAAAATTTGATATTTGTTACTCCTTGTTGAATCAAATGAACAACTTTTACATCCTTCTTTTTTGTTTCCTTTAATTGGTTCCTTGAGCCGTTATCATTTCTTCGATTGTATATTTATATCTAATTTGAATCAAATCCCAAAGATCATAAGAGAGAAATATAGTTTTCATCTTCACACACCAATAATCATAATTTTCACTGCCAAATAAGCGAAAAGGTGGTTTTTGTGTACTGGCAGACATGTTAATTCCACTTGTTGTTTCGAACTTCTTCTCTATGACTTTGTTTATCTAATGAGAAATGTCATGCCCAATTAGTTAATGTCGAAGTAGCTTTGATACCCATTATGTTGGCTTTAATTTCAGCCTTACATATAGGTTGCAAGATACATCTTGACCATTCACTTTGCTAGAACATTAATCACATAATAAGACCCAAGACGCAACTATTTGTATTCTCAAGTAAACTAGATACACTTAACAACTAAATATTATGTAGTATGCTATTGTTGACATTATTACTAGGAACCAATGTGTTATTCGTAACAAATTCAGCTTTGTCCAAATATTTTGCCACTAATTTTAAAGGGAGCATTTTTTATCAATATAACACTAACAATTTAGTGATGACGTATCCACTTGTCACTAATTTTATGAACCAAGGTCTATTAGTGACCAAGTCAGCTTTGTCACTAATAATTTCACCATCAAAACCTAGGTGGGAAATATTTGGCGCAAAATATATTGAAGAGAAGCATGTTAGAGGCGACTTTTTTAACTTTGACCCCAATATTTTATCATTGATTTAATCCACTTCAGTTCACAAGATACAAAGGCCAAAACATATTGGCTACTTTTGGAACAAAAAGTTATACCATTAGTTAGCGTATCATAAAGTTTACATTATTGGGAGAATATTTTGAAACCCAACATTTGTGGAGAGAGTTAAAAAGAACAATTTAAATTGGCACAANCTTAGAAACGGTCCAATCTTTGACCACGTTTCTTTCAAGAGTTCCCCAACCTCTTCCTTCCGTTGAGGATAAGTCGTGATCTCCACCGAAGATAATCTCTAAGCTGCGATAAAGAAGCCTTTAGGATATGTTATGATCTCCACAAGAATGATCTTTTATCTATTATAAAATGGCTCTAATCTGGGAGAGGAAGGACACATGCTCCATCAGAGACTTTCAGAAGACGAACCGACTACCGGAGATTATTGTTTTTCTCTGATTCTCCATTCCCCCTCTCAAAGCTTGTATCTCCGTTCTCCATACCTTTGAATCAATAAAATACCCGGCAACTGAAGCCATTGAAGAGTGGACGTAGGTCGAATTGACCGAACCACTATAAATTGTGTCTTCTTTAATTTTCTCATTGATTTCATTGCATTTATTATCTATACTTGACAGGTGGTGTGCAAAACCATTTTTGTGCATCATCAATTTTTATATCCGATTCTACATAATTATGATGAGATTTCATTGACCTGATTTAAGCTCTTTATTTTTTTAGTTTGGGTAAGATCAATAAAGATGGTGTATTCATGACTATCCTTATAAAATTTTCCCTTAAAATGCTAAAAATAAAACCAGTGTGCTTCTTTTACTCTGAATGCACATGATAAAATAAATTTATTTCTACAGTGATGTTTATTTTTCGTGTGACTTTGTTATGATAAACTTTTAACCATTTCCCTTAAATTGATTTATCTTTTTGGTTTAGAAATGTCGTAACGACAAGTGGCGAACTCCTGAAGCACGAAAATTACAGCCACCTAGCGCTTCAACATCTCCCACCACTAGCAATGAGAGTTCACAACCCAAAATTAATCCAAGAAAATTTGGTTCAATGCCCTGGGTTCATGGCAAGAATCATCAGCGACAAAGCGAGGAAAACCAGGAATGCCCTGAAATATACTTAACTTTGGGTAACAACAGCAGCTTGGGCACCGGCAGTGAAAGAGGTGAAAATACTGAGCAATCACATCATCAACCTCCTCCTGTGGATGATGCACCACAATACATTGTCACAGGTTCACTCAATCATAGTTCTGCAGTGCAAAGCCCGACAAATCCTGGAGCATTTGGGACGTTAAATCCGATCCCGACTACAGACAATATAGAAGAGGGAGCTGAGATTTTATACAATAGTGTGGCTAAAAATGGAATGTCAAATGAGAATGAGGATGAAAGTTTGCCTATTGCATTGGAAATGACATCCAATCACTACTACAAACCAGTTTTATCTAACTTCAGTAGTGCCAAACCTGCCATAGATTATTATGCCAGTTTATCAAATAATCGGCAACAACAATCAGATGACTTCTTGGATTATCTACCAGAGATGGATGACTTTGTTCACGACTTTCCCGAAGTTCCAGATGGATTGGCTATTAAACCGAGCTCATCCTTGCAACAATGTTTCTTTGAAATTGACCATGTCTTCACTGACCAGGTTAGTCATTCATTGTCATTTTTTTACACAAATCTATTACTCCACCCATTGATATCACACAAATAATGTGTGACATGAGCAACCCTTTTGAATGCATGTTCAGTGTAGCCTTAAAGACCGGTTTTTGAAATCTTCATCCGATATCTAGTTTTTTTTAAAAAATATATAATTTTATTTTCCAGGAAAAGATTTTACACAACTTTTTATTGGGTATAGACTTATGAGATGTATCGTGGGTTCACTCAGTATATTTTGCTCTCCCAGTCAATGAAATAATTTACTTACCAAAAAATATTAAGAAATCACTCATATACTTTTTATATTTTCATCATTTGACTTTTGCAGTTTTGACTGGAGTGATAACTACACAAATGGTAACTTCCTATGGCAGCGATTACAGAACCAAGAGGTGAATGGGGGTCAAGAACATCCTATTTTCCTAGTAGATGCTGAACCTTCCATATACAGGGACTAGGAACTTTTGACTATGTAATCATAATTAATTAAAAATATAGAAAGTGCTATGAGCACTTTAATATAGCTTCTACTTTTAAACTTTGATAAATTGTACTTTTGACTTCCATTAACTGTTAGAAATTATCTTCTCTACTATGGTATGTTAGATTTGTTCTATGAGAAATTAAAGTGTTCGCANTAAAAGCTCAAAGATATATGAATGCTGAGGAAATCAACAAGTTTAGGCAAGGTGGATCATCTCATAGATCACCAGAAACTTGACCTGCCTCTGCACTGTTCTCAAACAGGCAGCTTATCTCCAGTTTAGCGGTTCTCTCACGGATCGCCAAAAAACTTGGTCTNTTTGACTATGTAATCATAATTAATTAAAAATATAGAAAGTGCTATGAGCACTTTAATATAGCTTCTACTTTTAAACTTTGATAAATTGTACTTTTGACTTCCATTAACTGTTAGAAATTATCTTCTCTACTATGGTATGTTAGATTTGTTCTATGAGAAATTAAAGTGTTCGCAATGGCCGAACTTCTAAAAAATTCCTCAAAGATTTCCATGGGAGACTATTTCTTTGATGCAATCCTTAGGATCTTAGGAATTTCTTGAAATAAGAATTTCCAGAGCTTTTCACATTTGAATGAAGTTTCAAATTAATTGCCAAACTACCTTCATTTATGCATTTAACTTTATTTCTTTGAATTCTTCTCAAATTATTTGGTGATATATGAGATTCCAGAATTAAGGTTCATATTTTTGTCTTAATTTTTTGTTTGAACAGTTCTTCCCATGCCAAAGATTTTTGGCAAAGTTTAGGAAGCCCCATAGATGGTTTCAGTTCTCATCTGTGACAATTTCAAAGAGACAGTTGAAATGAGCAATGGACAAATCTACAATATATATTCTAAGTTTGAAGATATTCTTACTAAAAATAGATATTGGTGGGACACTGTATGAATGTACAATGAGACTAGATGCCAATTTTAAAATTAATTGCTAGCAAAATCTACAGCTGATTTTATTGCATCTTTGCTTTATAACTTTTTTTTTTTGGCTCAATTTTGAGGGCTAATTCTTGATACCTCGAAGTAAATGCTGAAGTCGATTGTAGAGGAAGGTTGTTGAATGCTTCGTAGGATTTCATCACCAGATTAGGTTGGTATGTTGGCCTAGAGACTTTCTTTTTTGATATTAAACTACAATTTTATTTCAACAACTATTTCAACCTCTCAACTTGAATGAGAGGGTACAAAAAGTTAGGACACATTCTCCAAAAATAGCTTGCATCTTTACAATTTAAAGCATATTTAGCTAAAAAAATGAGTAACATAATTTCCAGTTCATCCAATCCACTCAGCAGAAAATTTCGAAAAGCACTCTGCATGCACCAGATTAGGTTGGCATGTTGGCATAGACACTTAGTGAGGCAATAGGTGGATAGATCATTTAATTTATTTAATTATAGTTCATATCTTGATTTATAGCAAAATTGTAGCCGACACGGATATTTTTAAAGATATGTGTTTGTTAAATATTTTTTTGAAAAACAAAATTAAGGATTTAACGGCAATTGGCGCTTGAGCGAAACTAGGTTGGCTCAAGCATGCTACAAGATTTCAGAAGATCTGCTGCAGCTCACACTGGCTTTGCGCTTGCTTAGTGCTTGAGCAAGGTCAAGCATGCTTGACCAACACTACGTGCGCTCGAGCGACTGTGACACATCAAAATTATGAAGTTAACAATTTTCAATAAGATTCCATCCAAACTCGTGCCTAGGCAATTTTTCTATTTAAATACACTCTTGCCATTTTGGGGAGGCTTAGAGAGCTTAGAAAGACTTTGAGACTGTAACGCTCCAAAACCCACCTTGGACGGCATTACAATCTAAAAATCGTTCACATCATGAGAGCAACTAATATAATCCATAAGTAAAGAAAATTTCATTCATCATTCATGACATTTACAACCTAATCCAAAAGAATATGTCAAAGTATGACCATCGTATCCAAAACAATATGATTAACTAAGGCAATTACAACCACTAGAATCAAATTTGAATTTGCAGCGGAATAACAAAAGGTTAGACTCTACATCGTCTCAAAAGGAATTCCCTAGTTTAGTATATAGGGGAGTACAACCCTAAACATCCACTTCTGGATTCACTTGCCCATCTAGTGGAGCTTCCCATTGTACCTGCTCTTCGCTTCCGAGTTTTTCCTCTAAGCCAAAATCTGAAAAATATGATATTATAGGGGGTGAGCACTAAGCTCTGTAGCAACATTCTCCTAAACTCAAACAAGGTTTAGAAAACATGTAAAACNCTCAAAAGGAATTCCCTAGTTTAGTATATAGGGGAGTACAACCCTAAACATCCACTTCTGGATTCACTTGCCCATCTAGTGGAGCTTCCCATTGTACCTGCTCTTCGCTTCCGAGTTTTTCCTCTAAGCCAAAATTTGAAAAATATGATATTATAGGGGGTGAGCACTAAGCTCTGTAGCAACATTCTCCTAAACTCAAACAAAGTTTAGAAAACATGTAAAATAAGTCGGTCTCTTTTCGCAAATATTATATATTAATTTTTGAAAGAAAATAGGAACATTTCAATAGGTCTCAAGTTTACACAATAGCAATTAATTAAGTGAAGTAATCACACCAAATTACAATTCATGAATCATTTCCAACCATAAATCATTTCTCACAAGTTCTTGTACAATCCCCTACTTCCACAATCTCTTGTAGAAATCCGTTCCTGGTACAATAAACCATAAACCCACAACTTGTATTCGTATANAACATTTCAATAGGTCTCAAGTTTACACAATAGCAATTAATTAAGTGAAGTAATCACACCAAATTACAATTCATGAATCATTTCCAGCCATAAATCATTTCTCACAAGTTCTTGTACAATCCCCTACTTCCACAATCTCTTGTAGAAAACCGTTCNCACACCAAATTACAATTCATGAATCATTTCCAACCATAAATCATTTCTCACAAGTTCTTGTACAATCCCCTACTTCCACAATCTCTTGTAGAAATCCGTTCCTGGTACAATAAACCATAAACCCACAACTTGTATTCGTATATCAGGTATGATGCATGATTCGCATGAATAAACACAACGAAAATATTCTGGCTCACACACACACCCAAATCCTCGCAAGGATATCCAACATTTAGGAAGGGCGTATACCAACTCATGGCAGTGATGAATCCAACCCAGGAATAGTATAATAACCCTCAACNAAACCATAAACCCACAACTTGTATTCGTATATCAGGTATGATGCATGATTCGCATGAATAAACACAACGAAAATATTCTGGCTCACACACACACCCAAATCCTCGCAAGGATATCCAACATTTAGGAAGGGCGTATACCAACTCATGGCAGTGATGAATCCAACCCAGGAATAGTATACTAACCCTCAATNACACACACCCAAATCCTCGCAAGGATATCCAACATTTAGGAAGGGCGTATACCAACTCATGGCAGTGATGAATCCAACCCAGGAATAGTATAATAACCCTCAACCTCAATAACACGTGAGAGAATAGTGATTTGGTCCTCGCAAAGCACCAACCCCACTACGAGTGATAGGGAACCTTCAAACCCACATGGAGTAAGAAACGCATCTAACTCACTCTACGATATCCGGTCAACGGCCACCCATGGTCATCCAAACATCTACAAGAGATACACTATCCAATCAATTTCTCCAATCACAATTACATTCAAAAATCCCCAAATTTCACAAATAGTATCCCCATAGAATAATTTTAGAAAATGTGCAAGAGATCATCATAAATACCATTTTGTGGTTCAATATAAAGGACTAAAGTTTTGAAATCAAGAACAATTGAACATTTAGAAGAATAATCCATTTTTCTCAAAATTAGGGTTTTCATGGCTATCAAACCATAAATACCTTCAAAGCATGGTGATATTTGTAAAAACTTCAAGAAACAAGTATTTCATAACATATATCTAAGGTTTAGAAGCAAGACATACATATATATATATATAAACCTTATCCTCAATGAATAAGAATGGAAGAAAATCTCTACCTTCTTCTTCCTTGGTTTTGGTGTGAAGAACTTGAGATTTGATCTTTCCCCAACTTGAATCCACTCTTAATCTCTTGTTTTTCTCCTCCTTTCTTCCTCTCTAGGACTTTCTAGGGTTAAAAATGTTGAAATGGGGCTAACGGAGGTGTAATTATGTATTTATAGGGTGAAAAGTGGACCTCGGATCGTGACTTACAATTTTTAGAACTTACAGAGTGTACCGGTGCGGTAAACTCCTTAGACAGTAGCGTACCGGTACGGTAACTTTCGGGTGTACCAGTACGTAGTACCGGTACGGTCTGTTCAATTTTACCTGTTTTCCTTGTTTTTCATTTCTAATCCATTCCAAACCCTTCCAAAACCAACCCAAACTTATACAACATACATTTGGACATCAAACTTAGTTGGTACAAGTTCGATTACAAAACATTTCATATATTTACTTGCTACTTATTAAAATAAAAGTGTGGGGGTTTACAATCCATCCCCCTTAAAGAAAGTTTCGTCCTCGAAACTTACCTCAAATAGCGAACAAATATAGGTACTTCTCTCGCATCTCTAGCTCTGGTTCCCAAGTAGCTTCCTCCACTCCATGGTGTTGCCACAAGACTTTCACCAGTTGAATGACTTTGTTGCGAAGCACTTTCTCCTTGGTGTCGAGAATCTTCACCGGTTGTTCTTCATATGTTGCTCCATCTTGAATCTCAATATCTTCTCAATCCACGATATGTGTTATATCCGATTGACATTTCCTCAACATTGACACGTGGAATACGTCATGTACCCCTGACAACTAAGCGGATAACCAAAGTTGATACGCCACTTTTGCCACTACTTTGATCACTTTGAATGGTCTGATATATCTTGGGGTTAATTTTCCCTTCTTGCCAAATCGCAACACTCCCTTCTTGGGTAACACTTTGA